ACAGTGTACTGCAATAATTTCATTTTATTATTAATTTTCTCTGAAATCAGGCTCTATATTTTAGATATTAAATATCAAACTATTGTCAGTACTTTATATTCATAACGTACTGTTTGCTTTTGGAGAAATAGTTTATTTTCACAAAAAGTAAGCTAAGGAACTAGCAATAAACTCCATTGACCTGAATTAAATCAAAACTACAGCAAATAAAGAGCCTGCTTTAATGTAGGGCAGTTTTATAACTATTTGAAATCAGTGGTAATTAATTCTTTATTAGAGGTGTAGTTCTAAAAAAACTTGATGTTCTCACATACAATTCTGACTATTAAACATATCAAACAATTTACAGCTTAGATTGTGTTTTTGATTTTAGTTAATAATCCCATCTCTGATTGGTTTCATTTAAAATACCATAAAGAAAAAAAGGGGTAAATGTCTTGTCAAACCATTTCAAGATCGTTATCTTTTTATTTCTTATTTCTTGTCTGTTTTTCAGACTCAAACTGAATAATAATTTGAGGATGTTCAGACGTGGCAAAAAGGAATTAACCTTACAGAGCAGCGTGGCCACAAGAGCCACTAAAACCAAATAAAGAGCCTTCGCTGAAATAAAGCTCTACAGGATGAAAGGGGGACTGAAATGAAAGAGTGGAGGAGGGGGAAAAAAGATGGCAAAAGAGAGCGCAGGCAACGCAAGAGAGGGAGGAGGAGACGGAGAGATTGAGAGGGTGGAAAGGTCTTCACATTGAGAAGAGAAGTGAATTTATAGAGGAGGGAAAAGAAAGGACCGAGAGAGGGAAAGAGTCAAGAGGAGCCAGCCATTATTACCACTGACCCTCCTTGGTACTCAATAGAACTGGTTTATTAGTTTCTGTGTGTGTGCGTGCGCACACATGTTGCAGAGGTGTGTCTGCGTGTGTGTAGCCGGTGTGTGTTGAGCCAGAATTGCATCTTCCCAGTCAAGTGGCAAACTGTACAAGAATCAATCTTATTTTTGATAGGAGAGCAGAGGATGAGGATGAGGATGAGGTGGGGTAGGAGGTGTCTGTGCTCCCATTTGGTCTCGTTTGTGATATAAATCTTCACTTTCAAACGTCGATTCTGGTCTATTCAGTCACTTTCTATTTGATTAAGCGAGTACGTGAGTTGACCTTTTGGAGCCTTCAGAGATGAAGGTATTTATATTTACTGTATTTCTTTATTGTCCTGCTAAAAATCAAATCAAAGTCAAATTTGACTTCCATGATGCTCAAACTCATCTGGTTACTTTTACCTCAGCGACGCTTTATTTGCTTTATTTGCAAAGTTGTTCAACTAAATTTCATTAAACAAAATCATCCAAAACAATAACAATCATAGCAACTACTTGGCACAAACCAGCTAAGTTTATAATAAGTGAAATACTTTATTTGGGAGACCATTATTATACTTGTGTACCTAAATAGCAGTTATGACTCATAGGGTTTCATCTGCCAGGCAGGTGCTTGTGGAGCTTTCAGCTATACTTTAAATGGATGTTTATGGACAGAAAATTGAAAGTAGAGCCTTTCAGCAGCAAGTGGATAGTCTATTAGCATGGACTGAATGGAGTGGCTATTTTGATGAAGCCCATAATACAGACAAATTGCCCTATTACAATTAATTTCCACAAACAACATTAAAAATACACTGTAGATAATGAAGTGGAATGGCAGGAAGAAGGTATCAATTAGACTAATAAAACAAGAAACAGCAGCTGTTGATTACCTCTTTAATTCTGCCATTAGTTATAAAACCTTATTTCATATCATATAACTCTCATCTGTCCTGAGCCACAACTTAGAACGGCCGTTCTGTCTGTTTGTTTTTCTTTACTTCAGGTTCGTACACTTTTCCCACAGTCAAATTAAAGCACTTTTCAAGCTTTTTCAAGGTAAATTGTCAAACTTTTTCAGCAACAAACTTTGGAGTAGTCTACCTCTGTGCACCTTTCTCCATTGAGATATAACCACGACACAAACAGCATTCTGGATGTGAAGGGAGCCTATCAACAATCTAAAATACTGTGCAACTGAATACAGTTCTGCAAGTTATCCAACTTATTTTTCACAGAGATACGGACACAGTCAATTTCCATTTATTTTGTGCGAGACTTCCGATCAAGCACTTCCGGTCACTGGCTTGCTAACTGTCTTCTTAACAACAGTCTCATCGTTATGACTTCGAGGAAGACTGGGATTGTTTGTGCAGTTAGAGGGTGCCATTATAACTGGTACAAAAGAAATAATTACCTGGAGCAGGAATGTTTTATTCATAAACCACGTACGAGAGCTGAATGTGGAAACCCTTCGTCAGTGGTTAAAAGCTTTAAATGTGAAACTACCGTATGTTTGCCATTTTCATTTTGTGGTCAAAAGACCTACAGAGGACCACCCGGGACCATTTCCGGCTTTCCTCCAGGGGAAAGAGAAAAAAAAAAAGAAGACTCATACCTGTCTGGCCAAATATTTACAGCCATTTCTCTGGGCCTATCAGATGAGCATATTTCACTTTAAACACACTAGACAGGCCGACTAGCCAATCAGAAATCAGATGGAGGCGGGACTTGGACATCGACAAAACTTTGATTCAAACCCAGCAGAAGCTGGAGCGGTGCTCAAAATGAATTAATTTTGTTAGAAGAAGTTTGAAAAAGAACTGGAAACAATAATCATGTTTCCATCCAGTTGTAGAGTGAATTTTTATCGAACTTTTCAAAATTCGCAGAAAATTAAATAAAAATTCGAATCTAGACTGTTTCCATCTAGTTTTCCTCTCGACTGTTTGATGCGAATAAACGAGGCTACGCAACGCGTGATTACGTCAGATGAGGCTACGCAACGCGTGATTA